TTTATACCTTTTTTTTAACGTGTGGAAATCCTCATGGATACCCTTTGTCTAGACAATGAGCGTCAGACAGCAGGTTATCGGACTCTTTCCGACTAAAACCACACAGTCAATCCCAGAAAACAAAGAGAGAGAGTCACTGGGCACTCGAATGAACGAACTTACCTGCGACACTCAAATTATGTTACCTCCTACCTTTTCGGAGTTAAATTCAATAGTTCTAATCTTAAAGGTCTACAAAATCATGTCTTAAAATGATTTTATTTTAAATGATTTTTTCAATGCTTTGTGTAAATAGTTACTTTTAGTTTACTTTTATTTAATTTTTATCTTAAGTTGTATGTATTTAATAACAGTTAGTTGTTATTTTATTTAAGTTTGTATATTAATATAATTCCGTTATATACGGATAAAAAACATTCAATACTCATGGAAATGTCCAAACAAATATATCTAAACACTCAAAGATCGGTTTCGCAAGCCAATCTCAATTTGAAGAGCTAATTGCTGCGTAGATAGTGTTACTGTATAAGTACGTGTGCAAATACAGCTGCACTCTATGTCCCCCTCTCATAATCCGATGGGATGGTAATCCAACACGACCGTAGACAGGGATAAAGGCTTTATGCGCTTTCTGCGGTACTGGGGTCAATGAAACATTGCTAAATTTTCAAACACCTACGAATCTTAAGTACTATTATTATAAATACAAAAGTTTGTGAGAGTAAATTAAATTAATTATAGCACGGAATAACACATTTGCTGCTTATCCGGATAATTTGAGCGACGCCATTGACAGAAGCTGGTGATGGTGAATATAAAAATGTCAGCATCTTCATTAAATCCTAAATAACCCCAAGTATTGACAATAACAATAAATACCTATACTGCAAATCTTTAAACATTTTACTAGAAATCCTTAACATTTACCTTAGTTCTAACTTTTACAGTAACACATACAATTTTATAACATCAATTTAGTATTATAAACGCAAATACGCAAGTACTGTGACTTTGTAAGGGTGCGTCCACATCTGGCGACTGTTCCGCACGCGTGCAAAAATTAGTATTTTATGAACCTTGTATGAGTCCCGCGAAGCTCGCGGGCAGCCCGCAAACGACTCGCGAGCGGCAAATTCGCCAGATGTGGACGTACCCTAAGGGAATGTATGACATAAAACAACGTGAGAATCCTTACTCAACCCTTTCACAAGACTGTATTTAATTATATTAATTAAACTATCTATAAAGAATGCACTTAGATATTCGTTAAAATCAAATTAATGGGTTTGAAGTGAAAGTGCGATATATTTTTATTTGTTTTATCCTATCTGTTAATTTATTTCGTTTGGGGCTATTAAAGTATCATTAAATGACTGTCTTTGAATCTGACTGCATTTAACGTCTTTACGACATTCAAAGAAGAAATTCTGTTCAATTTGAAAATGTAATAAGATTAACTTATTTTTTTATTAATAATTTCGTCAAGGGATACGGTAGACTCGATCGAAATATTACCTGAATAACAAAACATAAAAAATATCAATTTCGAGTCGACAACATATATCCGCAAAATTCTGATTACGGAGATTATTTCGTTTTGTTAATTCATTTTAATGACACTGACAGACAAACCGCAGTCGCCATCTTGAGTAGACAATAAACGTTCCGTTCATAATAGCTCTCAAATACGCCTCGCCAATCAACACGTTGTCGCGTCAAAAAAGTATAAATTAACAATAAATATGAATAATTTCACGCGAACGAAGTCGCGGGTAACAGCTAGTAACAAATATACTTGTATCGATATTCTACTATTAGCAAAAGTACCGTCATTATAGACACAATTAAAGAACAACAGGTTGCGGTCACCGGTGACCGCTCGGTGTTTGACAGTATAAGATTATCGATAACTAATAAATGCATCATCATCTTCATCAGATACATTTTTACCACAAACTAAACCCGTGCTATGTACTTACGCATATAATCACAAAACAACATAATCCAGCCACACACACACACACAAAGCGAAAGGGTGCCAAATCGAATGACCGGCAAAAGGGACGCAATGTGAATCGAATCGGCTATTCGTGGCACGTTTAATTGATAGCACCATTAGCACTGCAGTGTCTGTCGTGTAGGAAAGAAAGAAATAAATGTAATTTGTAGCTTCCCGGCTATAGAAGACAGCACTTAAGTACTATTGAGTGGAGATATCCTATTTATGTTGGGAAAGCCTGATAAAGGCATGTATGTATAGTTAAGTATAGTGTGTAATACATAGCTATACACTACTCACTTGGACGTTGGTCTAGTGGATTGGTGACCAGCTATTATTTATTAATTTATTTTTATTTATTTATTTATTGATAGGTTCTTCACAGCTTACAAAATTAAATGATTACAACCAAAAAAGATAATTAATTCATTACTCCAATTATGAGGAACACGTGAAAAAGCAGAATTAAATTACAAAAAAAGTGTTGCTATATTTATGAAGGAAACAGCTATCTATGACAGTCGATGATTTTGTTTTAATGTATAAATTGTACGTACATAATGATATAATAAATTATTGAGTGAATGAGGTTGTTTGTTTGTGTTTCTGAGGAGTGTTGTGCAACTCGTCGTTCGATTTCCGTGGTAATGGCGTTTTCTGAGTAAAATGGAAGTTAGGTAATGTTTCACCCTTGTGGCTCGGAAAACACCTAAAGTTGTTGGTCCTGCGCCTGACCACTCTCCAGTCGTTTTGGTTTGCCGACCCATCGGAGTGTGTTCAGAGAGTGAGGGAACAGAGAGTGCACCTGCCTTTGCGCACACACTTGTGCACTATAATATCTCCTGCATAGTGGGCTAGTCTAGTTACTTGCCATGATCAAAATCGATCGGGAGATTTATTTATTTTATTTTTTATTATTCTCAATAAAAAATGTATGGTTTGACAGATAAATAATAGTTGTTATTTATTTGTTTGTTATATATTTTTCAATTCTCTGTAAAAAGAAGAGGAAATTGATTGTATTTGCCAAAGGCAATATAGGCACAATAAGGCCATATTGTAATAGGATTAAAAAAATACTGTCAAAAGTAGGATGCATGTGATTCCTTCTAACCTTGGTAGGTAATGTAAGAAGATGATAATTGTAACACAAATAAGTGAACTAAAAATATCTGATATAAAGTATGCTGTGGTCAACATGACGATTTAACAATTTGCATACTGTTTCATTGAAAACTGTAACCAACTGAAATAAAATACAACAATTTATTTGCTCTGATTACACCCGAAACTGGTCGTTAATAACTACAGCATTTTGTGTAAGTAAATAAAATAAAACTACTATTGAAACTGATTGGAAACATTTATTTACGATGTAATTTTGAGTATTTCGACTGGAATTTGGAACCTACTTATTTGATATTTTTGAACAGGAATATCCTGTGTTTCCATAAAACTTGGAACTAATAACGTGAATAACAAAAAGTGACATATGTAACGTGAAAAAAAAAACAATTATGATAACTGAAGGTAGACGTAAATCTCTATGGTAATTAAATTTCGTCAGATCCCGCGTGACCGCAGTCGGAGTAACACGTGTAGAAATAATTAACCATTTTATTATTATGTGGAGAACTTAATTTTTTCTTTGAAAGTAAGGTAAATGGTTAAACACCCTTTGTTCTCTCAACATAAGGACTGTTTTCTTCGTATTCCATCCGTACTGTTTCTCAATGACCACTTTGTCCATCACGAATGAAAGGAAAACACGGTTTATTTTTATATCTTGCGGTCTCTTTGTAAAAGCATTTGTTAACATCAGGCTTTTAGGTAAATGGGTCTAGAATGTCTAGACCTTAATGGAGATGCATAGAAAGGTAAAATTAATTGAAGTTCTCCAAATTCTGAGGTCAATTGTTTCATAATGCTTAAAGGTAAGGCGTCTCAAGGGTGCACTAATTGATGTACAGGTTAGGTTACCAGCTAAAAGCATTTCGCAAAACCTTTTGTATCTTAATAAAGATAAAATAATTATATTTATTCACTAAAACCGCATTAATCTTAATTTTTTACTCCTAACAAAGATTTTATAAGCTAAAAAAAGAATGCTGTTATTATTTTTTACCGTCAAAATAAATCATGTCGCGTGCAAAGCCCACATATTAATTTAAAGTGTCAACATTATTGGAAACATCGAGGCTCAGGTGTAAAATGATCTTCCCCCTCGTGGAAAATTGGAAAATGCGGATATCGGGGGAACGGGACCAGCTACATTATAATTGATGCCATTAATCTTTTGACCGTAACCGACACCTCGGCGGTCGGCGCGACCGTCCACGGAAACGGCCGAACACCGTAATTACCAGTGTTAAACTGTCAAACACCAAGCGGTCACCGGTGACCGCAACCTATTGTTCTATAATTGTGTCTGCAAAACCGGTACTCGACGAGTTAAACAACGTTATTAGAAGGTAGCACTTTCTTAATGACTAATTAGATATGTTTATTAGTGAATGTTTGTTTAAATGGCATATTAAGTAGTCTATAGAACTTTATTTATCTGAACGATTAACGATTTAAGCGTTTGGACAGTAACTCCATAGCTCCCAAGCGCAGGTGTCCCTGTTTTCTTTCAATTTCCTTCCCAGTAAACAAAACATGTTGAACTTGCGTCGTTTCCACTCGATTTACTTCGAGTTTTCCTTCACCTTTATAAAACTTCCTCGTACACATTACGGCTAAATAATATACTTTTTACGTTAGTAAATCGGTTCGCAGTTTTATGTAAAACCCGTTTCTATGAAGTGTCTCCTTTGATGGCATTTTTATTTGTCATAAACAACATTGAGTGACGGATTACGTGTTTGTCGACTGAGTTTTCACTGTAATTTTCTCTTCTAATATGAAGATAACAATGTAATCTTTGAAGTATATTTACACAAATGTATGTTCACAATTTTGTAATATATGTTTTACTAAAGTATTTTTTCTTTTGTTATAGATGGAGAGCCGGAGCAGTTGGGGGTCGCGGCGGCACCGCTGTAGGTGAATGCCAACCAACATGACGCCGCCGGCGTGGGTGTTCGCGGTGGTCGCCGTACTAACGCTGGCGACCACTCGCGCCTACCTCATCCTCGTCCCCGACACCGCTCCGCCAGGACACGTGGTCATCGACGCCGCCGTCTACAAACTGGGCTCCGAAAGAAACTACAACATCGATGTCCACAGAACTGCGAATTTTGTCCATCACATACTCAGAGTCAATAGAACCAGTGGCCTCGTCACTTTGAGAAAGAGGCTAAGATGTGACGGAGTGCTCTACCCAAACCTCTTCACTTTCTATGTAGACTCCACATCGGAACGCATACGTGACATCGACTACTACAGCCTGCCTATCAGAATCCTTGTGACTGGCGAAGACTGCAGTAGGAGACATGCTGAACTGTATGACATAGACTTCGATCGTGTCTACGACCAGAATGACGCAGCTTTACAATATGAAGATCAACCGATCAGAGATAAAAGAGAAGCTGTATATCAAGAGAGTATAGACTGGAGGTTGTTAGAAGGAGAAGAATTAGTCTCTAGTCAATATAATGTCCTGTCCACGGCGTATCCGTGGTCGAACATTATGTTCGAGGACTTTGTAGCGAGAAATAAAAGTAGGAGGAAACGATCTCAAAACGTAATACCATTCGATATGGCCATAGATGTAAAAATAGCTGAAGCGAAGCAATGGATATCGGAAACATACGCGAGCTTCGCTATCCCGACTACGGATCGATGGCAAGGGATTTGTCTGAAGCAATCGCAGTTTGTGAATTCTCTTACGGCATTTTTACCTAGAACGGTTCAAAAGATGTGTAAAGTGCAGTTTTTAGATGTGAGTGACCCGAGGTTTATGATTGAAGCGAGTCAAGGTGATTTGGTCGCGAGTGGAGATATTTGTATACAAGAACCTATGTGGAAAGTGTCGATACTCTTTACGTTTAACTGTGAAAAGATAAACATAGTGGATTCGGATCATAGATTGAAGATAGTGTATCATCATCAAGAGCTAAATGATACTGATATAGCGCGGCGGGTAAAGAGGGAACTTCGGAACCAGTCTCCTTACTTTGAGCAGGCGTTGTATGTGGCGTCTGTGGCTGAAGAACAACCACCAGGCGTCACCGTCACTACTGTCAGAGCTCGGTAAGTGTGCCTATTAATCCAATATTTTATTACTAGATATACTTATAACATTTATATTATTCAAATGACTAGCTGAAACTACAACTACAAAGATTAATGTCCTAATTTGGAGAACATAATTCTCGAACGAACTCTGAACAAATCCAGAGTTTTTTAATAGATTATAACAAAAACAGCACCACTAAACCCAACTACTATAGTAACTACATACATCATACATACAAACATATAACGTATCTTAATTGTCAGAAACTACAACACCAATGCTAATCTTCACCCACAAACAGAGACAAACAGTCTATGAGCACGAATTAATGATAACTAATGACATCTAAACCTCTTAATTCGAAGTTCCTTATGTCTGTAACAAACAGGATACGAACATTATCCTAATCAACGTCACGACATAACACCTAGTTATATAACATCTGTCCTTTTAATTGACTTTAAGCTGGGTCTTTTATACCCTCATCTATTTTATGTAGTCCGGAACTGAGCGCTATTGTTCTCGTCACCGCCCCGGTCAGGGCTTGTGGGGACACCAGCACATCAATCTACACCGGTCTGTCAAATTGAGGTCACATGCAGATCAGAGGCTTTTGGTCAAAAAGATCGACCATCTAATAAATTGCTCAAAAATGATGGCGCCATGAAACAATACCTACACTACATGTTAGTGCAAAGTACTTGTGTTGTTGCTGATGGTTTAGACTACGGTGATGGCTGCTTACCATCAAACGAAACAAGACAAGCCGTAACTGTCATAAGCTCTGTTGCTACTAGTAGACATACAAATAACCAAAAATTTTACTGTAGAGTATGAGCCTCTAACATGGCTTGGAACTAGTCAAGTTACTCGTCTAACAGTTACGTGAGTAAGCCGAGAACAATAATTAATTTTACTCCACAACAAATGGTTACTTTTATTCGTCTTTGTGAGATATTCGATATACTTATAATATAAGAATACTATGCCAAAGTACTCATACTCATACATGAATAGTCCCTCGTCTCCACAGGCCTACCATTAAATAGACTATCGACTTTATTACAAAATGATATAGTTGAAAATCCATTAACGTCTGTTTGCAGGACAGCTTGTACGACCATGGTCATTAAATGCAATGATGCTGTCATTTTAGACATTCCTCGGTTATTGGTTGTCCGTTTCGCAATATTAGATGTTCAATAGCTTTTACTGACATTAAAATTGACTGAATAAGTTATGGGACGTATATAGAGTTGTTCGTAATTGTATCATTTATGATAAATCTTATTGTGTGAGCTCTCATTGATGCTAATAAAGCAAAAACCTAGGCATAGACGTTTATTCATTTTATGTGACTGTTGCTTTAAGATTTTCCAGCTTTTTGCTAGGCGTTTAAGATTTTCCAGAGATGTTTGTCTTCTGTTCCTAAAATAATATTTAATAAATATTTGGTTGTGGAAATCTGTTGAAAGCAAATCCTCTGCTAACGTCGGGCACTAGCGACCACAATGAATTTTTCAGATTATTTAAAAGTGACTAGGCATTACTTTCGATAAACTACAGCAATCGTAGGTACAGCATACATAACTTCTGTTTTTAAAATACGTAACATATTTAACAGAAGCTGTAAATAGGAATCATGGGAGATTCATACTATACATTTCTACTTCGCTTCTACTTTTCTGAAGTTTATCACGTACGAACGAACTACATATAACAGTTGTTAGTTGGTAGCAACTAATCAGATGTTATTTACTCTCAACGTTTTTATATTACCACCCTGTTTTATTACTAGTTATTGAACTAGTTCTATGAAATAAACTTGCATTTATTAAGATTTTCTTCGCGTGTTGTGTTCGAATAAATCTTGGTTAGGATTCAGACTATCTGAGATTTATGCACTCAAAATATTGCTTGTTTATTTAACGCTTTAAGATTTGTTTTATATAATTAATGTAATATCATATCTTTTTGTCAAATTGTAGACAGAGGTGACAATTTTTTTAAAGTTTCATTGAGCCGTTTAACGTTGGCTACGTTTAAGTTTAGTAATAACTGTTTTGCAGTATTTTAAATGTAAATAAAGATTTTAATGTGTAATTAATTTAGCTAAAATGATCGTATGCTAACATCCTTATTATTCATTCGCCACGATTTACGCATATTGTAGACCAAGCCTTTTACAGAAACACAAACATTGAGCTCTAATTAAAAAATTACACCAAAAGGACCCTTTTCCGTAAAAAACAATAACAGTTAATTTCTATTTACACAGGGACCCAGAAAACAGTCCAGTGACGTATTCCATGTCCAGTTTATTGGATTCACGGTCCGCTGGGATGTTCGCCGTGGACTCCAGAACTGGTGTGGTTACTACCCAGGCCAGGCTGGACAGAGAGAGACTCGACGTCCACTATTTTAGAGTAGTCGCCCAGGATGACACTTTCCCGCCTCGAAGTGGGACCACGACTTTACAGGTGAGCTACCTATTAATTTTGTTTTTATGATTGTCCCGTTAAAGTTTCGATTACTTTTATTTTCATTACTACTTCTGCTAATAATAACTCAACGTTATATTTCAAGGTTCTAGTTACATGTATTGTATTATTTTAATTGCGTATCTGTGGTATAGTCTATGGTCATAGTATAGTCTATGGTGATAGTTTATCTATGGTACATGGCTGAGCCCGCGAATTTGTAAAAAATATAAGACGCAATAAAATAGTGTGGCAATAGCGTTTACTCGTTTTACTTATATTTCGCCCCCTTTAATATACTTAACAACCGTTAAGAGTGAGACTGAACAGTCAAGAGTCACACTTTGTGATATCCACAACTCTACCATATAACGTTCGGGAGTTGTCGTGGATACTACTCCTGTAATAAAATCACATAGGTACATTATGTACATATATACAGATACCCAAAAAAATATGTCGATAACACAAAAAAAAATGTATAATTTGCTTCTCATCTAAAATCATACTTATTTGCAGATCAACGTACTAGACTGTAATGACCATTCGCCAGTGTTTGAGATGCAACAGTACGAGTCCTCAGTACGAGAGGGAGCTAGTCCAGGAACCACTGTCCTTACTCTCAAGGCCACCGACCAGGATATTGGAAAGAATGCTGAGGTATACCTTCATGTTAACTGTATAAAAAAGTACTCTTTAAACAACATCGTATCATTGAAAAAAAAATTACCGATGTGGTATCCAACGTAACGTCGAGTTTCCTCCATTAAAATAGAACATGACTTACAAAAGTACCTACACCAATTTTTTTTACGTCAAACTAATTATGTTATATGGTTTAATCACGCACCTAATTCTTCGATTCTCTTAGACCCTAGCGTGGCTTGAATATAGTCGAGCTGTATCGTCAAACTGTTACGCGAGAAAATCGGACAAGAAAAAATCATAACATAATAAAACAACACTATAATAAATCATAGTCATATCACTCACTATAATAATATATATCCCTGAATCCCCAACGATCCTCAAACTCCTAATCCCCAAAAAGCCGGTAACGCACTTGTAACGCCTTTGGTGTTCCAGGTGTCCATGGGCGACGTCGATTGCTTACCATCAGGTGATCCGTCGGCTCGTTTGCCGGCTTATGCCATAAAAAAAATTAAGTTAAAAATACTAACCCTTACCTCAATTTGCAGGTGGAATATTCAATAGACAGTGTGACAGCAGAGACCCTTACAGAGGATACAAACGAATCAATAGATAATTCAGAACAGATAGAGGCTCAAGATGTCTTCAGAATAGATGGGAGGAGTGGCGCCTTGTTGACCAGGTCAACTCTTGACAGGGAGAAGGTGGCTCGGTATACTGTGATTGTGAAGGCTACTGACCAAGCCAGTCCTGTGTCTGATCGGTTGTCTAGCACGTAAGTATCGAGTCTGTTTTTAAAATAACCTTGAGCTCGTTGTGAAGTAGCCACGATGGCTTGAATCGCAGGTTTAAGTAAAATGTCGTTGCATTTTTAGATTTTTAAAAGAGAGATATTTTACTAATACCTAATTAAAGAATTTGTATTTATCTTTCCAAAACAAATTGATCTTGGTTAAAATAACATAGCGTTACATCACACCTTTTATCCCCGGAGGGGTCGGGTAGAGGTGCACATTACGGCACTTAATGCTGTACAATGCAAAACACCCACTTTTCACTACTTACGTTATGAGTCCCATGTAATAGGGGGTTAGCCTATTGCCATATACCGGGCACAATTCTAAACTCCGTGCTACTACTGAGAATTTTATTTTAAAAAAGCCAGTAATACTTTGGCTGACCCGGGAATCAAACCCGAGACCCCTTGTCTGAGTCGTACTTGCGGCCAATCGGCCAATGAGGCAGTCTTAGCAGATTAAAATAAAACAAGGAAATAATCGAATATTTATTTTTCGATAACGAAAATCTTCAATAGTACTTTATACTTACTCGGCAATTACTCTACCAGTTGGATATTTCTTAGACTGCACTATATTAATATTCTTGTCTACACCATAATTATCTTCCAGTACTAATATACAATAGTCCTATTAGATTAAACTACTCATGCGTTTACTGCGTAATTGTGCTTAATTATTAGGTTCTAATTAATTCTCCAGGAGCGGCTCTTGATTAAATCCTACCTCATTAATAGTTACCGTTAAGTCCTTTGAAGATGTACTGCGCTAACACTGACCATATACTGTACCGTTTATAATTCTTACGAGTTAATACATATTCAAAGTACTTGGCTAATCTCGCTGTGTCCCGCTAAAACTCGAGAATTTGAGATTTGGCTAATTTTGGTCTTAAAAGTTCCAGAGAAGGTTCAAAAGATGAGAAAAATTGAAACAATTTTCAACGATGAAATGTTGTCAATAACACTAGTATCTACTGAGACTAATATCATGCCTTGTGTATGGCAGCAGGATCACTTTTAGGACTCAACATATCTATCAATAATGTACGTCAGTAGGTACTAGAACAGCTTCTAGTCGCTTATGCCTGCCTCGTTGGCCGAGTGGTCGCAATTTCCATTCCGGACTCGGGTAAAGTACTACTGGGTTTTTAAAAAAAAAGTCTGAAATTATGCCCGGTATATTGCAATAGGCTCATCTCCTATTACATGGGACTCATAACATAAATAGTGGAAAAGTGGGTGTTACATTGTACATTGGCATTATGTGCCGTAATGTGGACCTCTGCCTACCCCTATGGGAATAAAAAGCGTGATGTTGTGTTAATGTATGTCAGTGCAAGAACAGCTTCTGTTAGTCACTTATTGGTAACAGTATCCTAAGTATTGTACTGGTCGCAGTGTAGTCTACTGCTACTCCGTCAGGAAAACATTAAACACATTATATCTAAACAAATATTAAAAAATAACCTAAACTTCTTCATCCACAGTGCAACAGTCCACGTGAACATTTTGGATGACAACGACAACTATCCCCAGTTCAGTGAGAAGACATACACCGTGACTGTTGATGAAGACATCAGTGCCAATGACAACCCCGTCATCGCTAGGATTAAGTAAGTATTCGGAGGCCCAATTACTAGAGGCTCCCTGCACTCTCTCAATCCCCAACAACCCCTAAATGTCTAATCCCGAAAAGGCCGGTAACGCACTTGTAAGGCGTCTGGTGTACCAGGTGTCCATGTCTGTACTTCTAGCGTCTGCTCGTTTACCGAATTATCCCATAAAAATAAAGAAATTCCGTCATCGTCTACTAGTTATAAAATCCAATCATCAATTTTGGATCGAATAATTTTAAAAAATATGACATCGACCAACTTAGAGGTTTATTTTGAGATGCAGACAGATAAAATAAAGTTGGAAAAGAAATTGGAAATTAGGAAAGACATCTAACGATGACCAATTCTTCTAAATATACCCATCATTTAAAATGTTCAAAGATTCACTATTGTTATGAAATGAGATAAAATTATTCAGATAATAAAGTTCTTTCAGCTATTTATGTATCGAGTTATCGAGTAAAAAAGTCAAAGTTGTAATAAATACAGCATACTTTTGATTAACTACTCAAAGGTCGAAGCTAATTTATTCATAAGTCAGTTTGTGGAGTAAGATTCTTATTTCGTACCGAAGATTAATACGAAAAAGAATTTTAAGCAAGATCACAATCTTCAACACTCTTTTAATATTCCTTATAAAGTACCTAGAAGCAATGTCATAAGTTTACTTTGTAGATGATGTGAGAACAATGTCGTAAGGATATCTGGCCTCGCTGTCTCCAGGTGGTCGATAAATCAAGAATAATGTTTTCCAACCTAGGGTCTTGCACTTGTAACCCCCTTGGGAAGTCTCCAATGCTCCTCGATGGGGCCATATTTATCTTTAGCTTTAAAATTATCCGAAATATTTCTTAAAATACATTTTCTTTTATATTTTCTTAAGAGTACATAAAATAAAATTACAATTTTGTCAAAAATTGTAACCACCCTGTACACACTATAGATGCATTAAAGTGATTTGAATTTGAATTGTGTACGCCATTAAGTTTCCTATGTGATCTATCTCCTTTCACATAAAAACATTCCAATTCAGATACTTAAATAAAGTAAATAAAACATCCACAAATCCTTCTCGACATATTTACAACAGAAACATAACGCTCGAATATTTACAATCTCAGTAAATATATCATAAAGAAACAAAACTTCGCTAAACGTTTTCCAATAAGAACAATGTCGTACGAAGTTCGATAAAGCCATATTTTTAGCTTCACAATACTCCCCATTGATCCCACCCCATCTGCTGTTCAATGTTCAAATTTGTATCGCCATAAATCGTAACAAAAATTGTTATTGAGCCATATTTATTGTTTTAAATAAATGCAACTATCAATATTTCATGCCGCCATTTTGTGGCTGGCTTTTAATAATAGCTACATTTTCTAGCTATTGTACACGAAACGAATGCATCCGAAATTATTAATTTTCATGATGAATGTTCCACGGTTTGAAATTAACTATTTTCATGTATTCTAGATAGGTTATAATTATTGTAGAAGCGGAACAATGTGGTTTTTCTGTTACTTTTATTAAAATCTGTGTTTTTTATGTTATGTACGCAATTGCTAAAAGAGACTCTGACATCAATTTGCTTGTCATTCCAATTCGCTGTTTTATTTCTATTTTACAAGTCACTGTAATTTTTTCACATCACCGTCTTTTAATGAGATCAAATGACATATTATTTGTTGAAATTTTCTCCCTTAGACGTGCATTTTGAAGATAGTCCATAAGTTTTCCTAATAGAGCTAGAAATGAAACTTTCTCGGAGTGAAAAGAGGTCTCATTTTTCATTTCTGGACCAGTGTTTTGTCAGTATAACTAATCCATTGCTCGTTTTCACAGGGCGACAGATGCAGACGTTGGAGCGAATGCGGCAATACGTTACGCGATAATTGGAGGAAACACACAGATGCAGTTTTCTATTGACAGTCTGAGTGGAGATGTGGCTCTGGTCAAGCCACTGGACTACGAACAAGTCAGAAGCTACCGTCTGGTTATTAGAGCTCAAGGTTTGTTAATATTCTTCTGTCCACTTATTTCATTGTTAAATTATTTCTTCTTTTGGCGGTCGGATAAAAAAGTTTACTAGGTGCTGCGTAATTATTATTATTATAGTCAAATTCAATAGTTCTCTTGTTTGTAACAAACTGTATTTTTGTAACATGTTACAGTGTAACAATAACAGAGTGTTTATTTGTAAGTATTTCAGTTAACTACTTACGATGGCCTAGTTGGCCGAGTGGTCGCAAGTGCGACTGCCGGGCAAGGGACCTCAAGTTCAATTCCCGGGTCGGGCTAGTATTTATTTCAATTAAATACTTAGGATTGCTTCGTTGTCCGAGTGGTCGCAAGTGCGACTGCCGGGCAAGGGATCTCAGGTTCGATTCCCAGGTCGGACATAGTATTTCTGAGTTATCTATGTAGTAGCACGGAGTCTGGAATTGTTCCCGGTATATGGCAATAGGCTCACCCCCTATTAATTGAGACTCTTAACATTAATAGTGAAAAATTTGTGTCACATTGCACACCGAAGTGGCGTAACGTTCACCTCTGCCTACCCTTTGTGGATTGGGCGCAGCGGTAAGTCCCCTCTTTGAGGAGTGGCTTGAGAGACGCTACGGCGTCCTCACCTACCGCCTGACGCAGGTCCTCACCGGACATGGGAGTTTCGGGAGGTACCTGTGTCTGATGGGGCGGGAGGAAACGTCCGGGTGTCATCACTGCGAGGACCGCCCTGAGGATACGGCTGAGGATACGGTGGAACACACAGTCGCGGAATGCCCTGCGTGGGCTGAGCACCGCCGTGTCCTCAGGGAAGTGATCGGCGATGGCGACCTCTCGCGTCTGGGCCTAGTGCAGGCCATGATGCGGAGCGAGGGGGACTGGGATGCCGTCTCCTCCTTTTGCGAAGCAGTCATGCTAGCTAAGGAGGAGGCGGGACGCGTGAGGCAGCGAAGCGCTGCCTCCTCGCAACCCAGCCATCGCGAAGGACACACCGGGCGTCGGGGATCGCGGGACGATCTCCGGCCACCGTAAGCGCGGGCCTGCGGACGGCGAGCATGGGTGGCTCCCCGTCCGACCAGAAACAGACCCGAGCGTAGAGCGCGTCGCGTTCCGCGCGCGCCTCAAAGAACCATCAGACCACCACAGATGGGGCCCAATAGGGCCGATGCCGATTCGGAGTCACGGAGAACCTAACGCGTAACCAGGGCTCCGGCTCGACGTGCAGGAGAAGGAACGGGGTGGTTTTTAGTCAGTAAGAGTCTGACACTCCCTCCGCCTCACACAGGCGTGAGCAGTCATTCGATGATTTTCCCCCCTTAAAAAAAAAAAAAAACCTTTGTGGATAAAAAGCGTGATGTTATGTATATGTTGTATAACAAAATATTTCATCTTTGTTTCAAAGATCTTTCATATTATAAAAACAAACCGTTCGTAATAATTTAACAGAATTATGAAGAGAATAACTTTGTCAAAAGCTTTGGTGAACTCCATTCAACCGATAAAGCTCTATTGTCGAGATTAACATTCATAATCATTGTTGCTTCGATTGTTTCTTTTATATTTTATGTTTTCTTTATTTTTGTTATAACTGAGTCGTTGTTCGAGTGGTTCTAAGTGCCACTGCCGAGTACAAGAGTATCGAGTTCGTTTACAGAGCAATTATTTATTAGGGTTTTTGATTTCTTAAAATATATTTGTCAGTTATGTGTAAATATACTTGTTAGTAATGAAATTCAATTTTTTTTGTGTGTAATTATGTTTTTATTATGTAAATTTGCTTGTCTCTTTTCTGTACCTATTGTAAATTTCAGACATAATGTGAAATGAAATAAAATGAAATGAATGAAATGAAATACGTTTATTCGGCATAAGACATCTATGCCAGGAAAAAAACTTATACATTATATCATATAACAATAAAAAGGTTTAAAAACATAAAATGTAAATTTGTTAAATGAATAAATAAATGTTATAAATAATATTATCATAGCGTAACATCTTAAGAAACATTATGGAATGCAAATAAAGATATGAATATAATCTATACTAATATTAGCTATAAAGCTGAAGAGTTTCTTTTTTTGTTGTTTGTTTGAACGCGCTAATCTCCGAAACTACTAGTCCGATTTGAAAAATCATTTCTGTGTTGGCTAGCCCATTTATTGAGGAAGGCTGTGGGCTATAAAATATAATGCTGCGATAGCTAGTTATGAATATGAGCGTTTGCAGTCATGCCCGATATTTGTCTCCTACAAAACAAATTAAAAGTTGTTTTTTATTCTAGATACAGGCCTTTTTTGTTTTTATTTTTAACCATAATGAACCCTTTACCTTGCAGATGGCGGCAGTCCTTCTCGATCCAACACCACACAGCTCCTGGTGAACGTAAAGGATGTGAATGACAACGCTCCGAGGTTCTACACCTCGTTGTTCCAGGAGTCTGTCAGTGAAAACGTTCCTGTAGGCTATAGTATCGTTAGGGTAAGTTGAAGACTTGTTTTGTTGAAAATACGTTTGCAGTGGAAAAATAACACACTCTTCGTATCAGTTCCTTGATGCTAGTGATTTCGGGTTGGTTAGCAAGTCGCGTGTATTAATCGCAAAACAATATATTAAAAACTTTGCATAGAATTATCGTATGCGCATTTATCAAAATAGATTTACGACTCCATTCTCAGACGAGATAACAACAAGAACGCACGCAAAAAATTATAAACAACCCCTTTACTTCAAGAAAATAAAGTTCATTTTCGCATTACTGCAACTGGCACTCAGTCTTATGAACTTAATTGCTTTAAATTTACAAGTTACACCTTTATATCATAAAAATAAGGTTCATTTTGCAACTGAGAGGCAGACTTATGATCCGACACGTATTCTTCGGTCGTAAACGTCGTACGACTGAACATGTTCGCCCCGATAGACCACAGCGAACTACCTCGAGGGAATGTCCATAATACCATGTTAGTACATAAAATATTAATGCTTTTATAAGGGACTGGTAATCATGCATTATTGCTTTATACCGACTACAATGTTATATAGACTGCCTCGTTTGCCGAGTGGTCGTAAGTGCGACTGCCGGGCAAGGGGTCTCAGGTTCGATTCCCGGGTCAGGCAAAGTATTACTGGGTTTTTAAATAATTCTCAGTAGTAGCACGGAGTCTGTAATTGTGCCCGGTATATGGCAATAGGCTCACCCCCTATTACATGAGACTCATAACATAGTAGTGATAAGTGGGTCTTACGTTGTATAGTGGCATAATGTGCCATGTGCACCTCTGCCTACCCCGTCGGGGATAAAAGGCGTGAGGTTATGTTATGTTACAATGTTATATAGATGTTCTTCCTTTGTTTATCTAGTGTTTTTATCATGAAATTAGCTTCTGCCCGCGACTTTGTACGCGCAATCCCGTTTCGCCCGTTCCCGTTCGTGATTTGACGGTAAAAAGTAAAATGAAAAGTACCTATTGGATAAAATGTAGGTATCCTATGTCCACCTCCTATTTCTAAGCTACCTCCCCTCCAACTTTCATTCAAATCGATTTAGACATTCTTGACTAATGTAACTTACACGAGTTTCTTTTATAAGTATAGATATATAGATTGCACAAAGAAAAATGCTGAAGTCAATTTAAAACTTACACTGTTAAGTAAAATGCTGTAAGCTAATTGTATACTATAGGTCGACGACTATTTCTGTCTACTAGGTCGTACCTACAGGGTTTAAAAGAAGATAACAACTAAATAAACCAAAACTTCTACAGGTTTCGTTGTTCGACTCGACAATTTTCTTTTGTTCTAAAGCCCAAAAACAGCTACACCCCACCGACTGTTATCATTTTGCCTGACAATTATTATATTCTTTATTTTAATTCTACCTATCCTCTTCTGGTATAATCCTTGTACTTCTTTATACATGAAATGTAATAGCAACGATGTCAATATTTAATACATGCAATAATTCCAATTTAAAGCAAGTAATATTAATCATCTGTGCACTTCAAAGTCGAAAGGAAACTTAGTTTGAAACTAATAAAATATAGTAGCTCGACGAGCAATGCCATCTATCTTGCCGCGTCAAAACTATTCTTGCACAAGAATATTCATTTGTATAAGTAACGAGATGTGAGAAAACATTTGCTAAGAAAACTTTAATATAATAATAATTACAGAAGTTTAAGGACAACAAGATTAAAATACAAAGTAAGCTAACATGTTATGTGGTTTCCGTACAATCCACTAGATGGCAGTTCAGTCAAAAAAGGGAGCAAATGTTCACTGCAAACTATCTGTAGTTTACCTACTAACTTAGAAAGAGAATCTACTAGATAATGTTACACTAAAATCGAACCTTAAGCACACGGTTTAGGATAAAGTAATTCCACCCTTGTCTATTTAAACACAAAGTGTAAAATATAATAATACAAAAATTACTGAATAACTTTAATAATACCTCTTTTCCAGGTCCAAGCTTACGACGCAGATGAAGGGATGAATGCTGAGATAACGTATACTCTAATGGACAAGGAGTATAACAACAATAACGACCTTCCAATCAGCATAGACCCTCGATCCGGTTGGGTTTACACTTCATCTCAGCTGGATCGGGAAGTGCAGGCGAAATATCAGTTGATGGTAAGTTCAGCTTAGTTCTTTCTCTTGTTTGGCTCAAATATTTCTTCAAGTATTTTTCTCCTCAAATATTATATTCCCTCTGAATGAAATCAAGATACCGAACTACTTTTAATCAAACCCACTAGAATTCAATCTCTGTGGCCAAATTTTGTCAGGCTGCTTATTGTTCTAAATCAAAATATCGAATGGAAATCACAATACACTTATCCGATTAAGGTGCAAAGAGTAAAACTGAAAGACCTGACAGTCGCGTGTACAGCTGGACACAATGACCGATGCAATTTATTAATTCGAATCTGAAGCCGAGCTGATAAAACAGTGCTTAAAAATGTACCTACATTTTGATTATAATTATAAATGTACAAGATTTTTATTATTTCACATTTAAACAATAAAAACTTCTCACAGGTAACAGCAACAGACGGAGGCTCCCCATCTCGCTCAGCGACAGCCTCAGTAGTGGTAGTGGTACAAGACGTCAATGACAATGACCCAGTGTTCTCACCACCTCAGTACGAAGTGGAGCTAGCTGAAGATGAACCTCCCGGCACTCCAGTTGTCACTCTCACTGCAACCGACGCTGATGAAGATAATCGGTAAGTGCTTGATGAAAGGGATTTATAGATCTTGTGATGTTTTTTTTTTTTTTTTTTTAAGGGGGGAAAGTCATCGAATGACTGCTCCCGCCTGGGTGAGGCGGGAGGGAGTGTCAGACTCTTACTGACTAAAAACCACCCCGTTCCTTCTCCTGCACGTCGAACCGGTGCCCCGGTTACCCGTTAGGTTCTCCGCGACTCCGAATCGGCATCGGCCCTATTGGGCCCCATCTGTGGTGGTCTGATGGCATCTTGTGATGTTTAGGGTTGCGTGAAATGCAATAATACCTAGTCAAAAATATGTATCAGATTGGTCCTGAATTGCTACCATGAAAAAAAACTACGAAAAGTTTTGACACGGCATTTAATAAAATTAAAGTTATAAACCTTTTCAGCTTCTAAAGTCTTTTTGAAACTGATAGTGGCATTACTTCTTGTCTAACATAAAAGTAGGTTTTGACTCCCGCACAGAACAACTCTTTGTGTGATCCACAGATTGTTGTTCTGGGTCTGTGTTTGCGAACTTGTATGCTTGTAAACGCACCCACGACATAGGAGAAAATCCTACGTTTTTTTTAGTTTATAAAAAAAAGGAATAACATCACTTATTTTTAAAACGACATACTTTGATTCTAACGAACAACGTGATCTTTTGCTCAGGTTACACTACGAAATAACAGGCGGCAATACTCGTGGCCGTTTTTCCATAACATCTCAGAATGGTCGCGGGCTCATCACCGTGGCTCAACCTCTGGACTTCAAGCAAGAGAGACGCTACGTCCTAACAGTGACTGCCACGGATAGCGGTGGCAGAAGTGACACTGCTATGGTCCACATTAATATAACTGATGCCAATAACTATGCTCCTGTCTTTGAAAATGCTCCTTATACTGCTTCGGTAAGTTTTACACAACATGCTAAATTATTTCAGGGTATAAACGAAATTCAAAGTCGAATCTAATGTTCATGATTACATAACATAACATCACGCCTTTTATCCCCGATAAATTGCCACTGTACAATGTAACACTCACTTTCCACTATTTATGTTATGAGTCCCATGTAATAGAGAGTGAGCCTATTGCCATATACCGGGCACACTTCCAGACTCCGTGCCACTACTGAAAATAAAAAAAAAAAACAGTATTACTTTGCCCGACCCGGGAATCGAACCTTGCCTGGCAGTAGCAATTGCGACCACTCGACCAACGAGGCAGTTCATGATTATATTTGGATATTGTATTATTCATCCGCAATTTGAAAACACATTTGATATTTTAATGTAAGACTATAAAATTACATTAATATCCCATTTCTATGAATCACTCAATGTTTACACCCTTCTGAAATCAAACTGTTCAATTCAATTCTTAATATCACCCGTCTCAGGTATTTGAAGATGCTCCAGTCGGTACAACAGTGCTAGTAGTATCTGCAACAGACAGCGACGTTGGAGTGAACGCGCAGATCACATACAGCCTGAGCTCGGAGATATCCAACGAAGCAGTCACGCATCACGACCAGGAGTTTGTCATCAACCCTCAAACTGGAGCCATTACTACCAATAAACTGCTGGATAGGGAGACTATGAGTGGTAAGTGTGTTCTTTTAGATATAGACTTCATTTCTATAAAATTGGTTTACCCTATTGAGGCGTAAGGTCCTATTATAGTAGATCAATTAGATTAGCTGTCACCAGAGAACTGAGAACTAACTGTAGTAATTTGATATTAGCAAATATTATTTTAGTCAATAGACGTAAAGCTACATTAGCGCCTCTTTTGGCGCGAAAATTCTCATTATACTGTGCAGCTCTGTACAGGACAGTACTCTGCACTGTACTGCATTGTATAGCTCTGTGATGTTGATAATGCGTATCCACAATTAGTAATTTCTGTACACATTTGTCTATATCCCTTAGTCAAAGATAGGCTTCTGACACTCCCTCCCGCCTAACCCAAGCCGGAGAAAACAATCGATGATAATTTATTACAATAGTTCTTCAAATTTTCAGATACACTACATTTGACTAGATTACTTACTTTATTATTCTTTCTAGGCTACCTTTTAACTGTGACGGCTCGAGATGGTGGTGTACCATCCCTATCAGACACCACAGATGTGGAAATATCAGTAGTCGATGTGAATGACAATGCACCAGTCTTCAAGCAACAACTCTATACTGCTACCATCATGGAAGATGCTTTAGTTGGTAAGTGGAACTTTTACAAAATATTTTATTGGTTGGTGATGAAAATCAGCGAAGCGGCTGGAGCCATCGTGTCCGAGTAACGGCATTTTATCTGAGCACTGGCCTTTTTGCGCCGTAATGACGACATTTGTTTATACCTATATTGTTTTTTTTGTAATTTTCTTGTTTACAGTACAAACTGTTTTTCTTTTCTTTCTGTTTCTCTTTATCTATCGAAACGGCTACTGAGATTCTAGAGGTAGAATTCCAAGATTATGAGAATATTGTATTTAAATGTTATTGTTTAAATTCCTAACCACTATTCGATCTTTCATAATTGCAATCATTAGAAATAACATTGTTCTTTGATTCACTTCAAACTTCTATAACTTTAATCGAGGTTCTATTGATGTGATAAACAGCCTGATAAAGAAAAGCAGCCAAACTTTATTTCTGTTGGCAATCAACCTTTAAAATCTATTACCAATAAAATACGCCGCGTCTCGTTCCGCGCGCGCCTCAGAGAGCCATCAGACCACCACAGATAAGGCCCAACAGGGCTGATGCCGATTCGGAGTCGCGGAGAACCTAACGGGTTGCCGGGGCTCCGGCTCGAAGTGCAGGAGATGGAACGGGGTGGTTTTTAGTCAGTAAGAGTCTGACACTCCCTCGCGCCTTACCCAGGCGGGAGCAGCCATTCGATGATTTTCCTACATTAAAAAAAAATTACCAATGAAAAGAAAGAAAATTAAAAGCAATGAAATTTGTCCTTAGGTACGTCGGTAACACAAGTGAGTGCAACAGACGCAGACGTCGGTTTGAACGGGCGAGTCCATTATGAACTGGAGCCTAAGGATAGGGAAGAGGGGTCGTTTGTGGTAGACCCCGCATCTGGGGTCATAAGGACCAATAAGGCGTTGGACAGGGAGTCTGTAGCGACGTATGACCTTAAGGCCTTGGCTATTGATGGGGGTACTCCGCCTTTGAGTTCTACTGTAAGTTTACACGTATTTTATTATACGTTCGAAATTGAACTCTAATGTATCGATATCAAAATAGATGAGAGAGGAATGGTGTTACAAACGATTGCTATAAATTTTAAAAATTTCAGAATGTTTTTTTATAAATATTTGTGCTTATAAAGAACTCCAGTGGCAGTAACTTAGTCTAAATTATAGTCGTCCTTCTAATATTACAAATGTGTGGTATATTTTTGTTGGCCTTTTTGTCACGCCGCCATTCAGTGTCTGTAGATGCGAGCTACATTAGCTTTGGGTCAAGGGCGGAAAAACTAGTTAAACGATAATATTCAATTTTGTATTTAAAATGTCAATTTAATTTCAGGTGATAGTCCACATAAAAGTGGAAGACATAAACGACTCTCCACCAGTCTTTGAGAGCGACTGCCTTACCTTCTACATTCCAGAGAACAGTCCAATAGGCACCACTGTAGGGGAGATATATGCCCACGATCCTGACGAGGGACCCAATGCTGTAGTGCATTATTCTATCAAAGGTGAGGGTGTTAAGAGTTATTATTGATTAGCAACCGTCGTGGTGCCCACAAGTTTAAGATGCTCCTCATGCACGAGGGCGCGGCTTCGAAACCTACCACCGACAAGTACCAATGTGACTTATTCCGAGTTATATGGCCTTTCTAAGATTATTCTGCTTATAATGACTGCGCGAGTGCACGGTGCGGTAGCTGGGCAACCGGCTGCCGTGCAACGTGTCGCGGGTTCGATTCCCTCATGGAACAACATTTTGTGTGATCCACAAATTGTTGTTCCGGGTCTGATATCATATGTATGTCAACTTGTATGTTTGTAAACACACCGACGATACAGGATTTAAAAACCCCACTGACAAATGGTGAAGGAAAACATCGCGAGGAAACCTGGGCTTATATTTTCTAATTTTGAAATCCCCAACCCGCATTGAGCAAGCGTGGTGATTAATGCTCAAACTTTCTCCGTGTGAGAAGAGGCCTTTGGTTAGCAGTGGCTTCTTATAGGGTGTTGATGACTTGATGTGACTGATTAGCAAGAGTTTTTTTAGCAATATTCCTACTATTCAAACCATAACTAACATGACATTTTTACCATCAGGTGGTGACGACTCCAATAGCTTCTCCTTAGAAACTCGCCAAGGTTCTGATAAAGCTGAACTGGTAACCATGGTAGACCTGGACTACGAAAGTCCTCGGAAGAAGTACGAGCTGATCATCCGAGCAGCCAGTCCTCCATTGTGGAATGACGTCAGAGTGGAGATTTTGGTGACTGATGTCAATGACAACGCTCCTATGATGAAGGACTTCCAGATCATATTCAATAATTACAAGGATTGCTTCCCTGTGGGACCCTTCGGTAGGGTCCCGGCTTATGATGCTGATGTTACTGATAAGGTAAGGGGATTTTAATCAATGTTATTTAAATTACATGTTTATAAAGGTAATTAATTCACTAAGTGTTAAGGAAAATCTGATGCCATCTTTATGTTATCAAGAGGCGCAATAATTTTATTATTTATTTATTTAACACTTGTGAATAGCTTCACTGAACTGGACCAACAAACTGATTTTTTTTTAATTTCAATATTTTATTTTGACATTCAAAAGTGCCTTCTTGGTTAAATTGAAATAAACGATTTTGCCTTTGACTTTAGAAACCAACAGCTATAAGTACACTTTGATAAAAAAAAATGTAGCATGCAACAAAAAGCCAATTACCTACTATTGATTGACACCAATGTTTACCCGTATAAGTTATTACTGCGTCTTAATGACGATGAGCCATCGTATCAGTATTTTATATCATTAGTTGGCCTTGGATCTTTACTACCGAAAATCATTATGGCTATAAAATATAGTTCTAATATAGTTTTGGTTTTGTATACAGCTACAATACCGCATCCTGTCTGGTAACAATGCGAACCTGGTACTACTGAATGAGACCTCGGGGGAGATGACACTGTCGCCACAACTCAACACCAACGTACCCAAGCTGGCCACCATGGAGATATCTGTTACAGGTCCGATTATATTTTCAATTTTTACGTTAATTAATGATCTATGAGTATTAAGTACCTCATCGAATATTATAAGTTAATTTTGCTTTTGATTATACTGTTAAATAACAAAAAACATTAAGCGGAATAGAATTAGGAAATCTTATAGAATTAATATTGACAAGTTGTTAAAAGTTTAGAAACAGTTTAACGGTGTAAAAAGACGGCACGGTTGGCGCGGTGGCTGCGCAACCGGCTGCCGCGCAACGTATCGCGGGTTCTTTACCCTCACGGAACAACTCTTTATGTGATCCACAGATTGTTGTTCCGAGGTCTGAGCGTGATCTGTATGTGAAATTGTACGAACCCACGACTAGTGTAATTTTAGTGTGGAGAAAAGTAAAAAAAAAGTAATATAAAAAAGTGAAATATTTTTAAAAAAGTAAAATCGGTTGGACAGCTCCAAAATCTTAGACAATACTAATCATAATACTACCTTTCTCAACAGATGGAGTGAACGAAGTAAAAGCAATGATGCAGCTACAAGTCCGTCTAATAACGGAACAGATGCTCTTCAACTCGATCACCGTACGACTCAACGATATGACGGCTGAACAGTTCCTGTCGCCACTCCTTGGGTTCTTCATCGATGGCCTCGCTGCTATCATACCGTGCCCCAAGGAAAATATTTATATCTTTAGTGTTCAGGTATGTGATTTTTGGACGGTAGTTATTGAAGCTATATAATCTTGTTTGTCTTTACTTTAAATGAGTTTACAGCAGGGCATCTAATTAATTAAATTGTCATCTAAACTGGGATGTGTTCCTTGGATTTTAAGAATTATCCAGATTTTACATATGCATTAAATAAAATAGTTCTACTTTTATCTCACGAGCGCGGGTGAGCCATAGTTGTAGTTGTAGTGCGTATGGACACGCGCGCGCGTGTGCGTGACTCGCAGTGAGCTCATTCATTGGCTGCCGAATCCGGGCGTTCCTGAGCGTACGCAAACAAAGAAAATGTGCGTGTACATTTACCCACACTAATATGGCGCACCCGCGCTCGTGAGATAAAACATCTGCAATTCAGATATTTTAACACAGAGGTTAAAATCTTAATTTATTTATTCGTGACTAGAGATTGAATGACACACTAACCTCATTCGTATCTACAGGACGACACAGACGTAACAGGGAACATACTGAACGTATCGTTTTCCGCGCGGCGACCGGACGCGGAAGTGGGCGTGGCCGGCGATACGTCGCCGTACTACTCACCCACACATCTAAGGGAACGAGTGTACCTACACAGAGCCACGCTAGCCAGGCTCGCTACTGTGCAGGTGAGTTTGAACCTTGTACTTGAAGAAATAAGGTTGATAATACTTTGACTTGGAATGCGTTGAATCTTGAAATCGTTTAGTATTTTTAGTTCAGTACATCACTGCAAAAAAAAATCTCCATTTTAACAATAAGAATGACTTTTAGAGTTCTATCACTATTTACCTATCACAATGGTCTTTACCCAGGTCCTTCCATTCGACGACAATGTGTGCGTACATGAGCCGTGCCTGAACTACGAGGAGTGCCTGACAGTGCTGAAGTTTGGCAACGCGACCGGCTTCATCAACAGCGACTCCGTACTGTTCCGCCCGATATATCCTGTCACCACCTTCTCTTGTCAGTGTCCTCATGGGTTTACAGGTAGGTTTCATATTGCTTTTGGTAGGTGAAAAAGTTGTCTCAGAAGTTACATGGTACATCTAGCTAAGGTAGTCCAGATTTGTATTGTACGAGAAGTTAAAGCCTATGTAATGCAGAAAGACCCAGATTATGAATTAAATAAGAATTTATAGACTACCTCGTTGGCCGAGTGGTCGCAAGTGCTGGGTAAGGGGTCTCGGGTTCGATTCCCGGTTCGGGCAAAGGATTACTGGGTTTTTTTTAATTCTCAGTATTAGCACGGAGTCTGGAATTGTGCCCGGTATATGGCAATAAACTTACCCCCTATTACATGGGTGGGACTCATGACATAAATAGTGAAAAGTGGGTGTTACATTGTACAACTACAGTGGCATTAAATGCCGTAATGTGCACCTCTGCCTACCACTTCGGGGATAAAAGGTGTGATGTTATGTAAGAATTTATTATTGAAACTAATCAGTATGAAGTTACTAGTTTTAACTTTCGATAGCCAATAAAGCCGTATAGGTAAGCCATTGTAGAGTAGACAAAATCATCTCTACAATCCTAACCTTCATTTTTCATCCCATTCCTTGCGATTACTAAAACCCATTTCGTTCCCAGGGTCTCGAGAACACTACATGTGTGACACGGAGGTGGACCTGTGCTACTCCTCGCCCTGCATCAACAACGGGACCTGCGTCCGGCGCGAGGGGGGGTATACCTGCGTCTGCGCGGCTGGGTATACTGGTAAGTTATCCCCCCCCCCCCCATCTCCAGTCTCCCCAGTCTCCCTAATCCCCGAATCCTCCACAATCTTCAAATTCCCAATTCCCAAAAGGCTGGTAACGCTCTTGTGACGCCTTAGTGTTCCAGGTGTCCATGGGCGACGGCGATTGCTTACCATCAGGTGATCCGCCTGCTCCTTTACCGGGTTATCCCATAAAAAAATACATTGTGTCTCGCATATATTTACGTTCCGTAATAACATCAAATTGTCACAAAAATTAAAATAAAGTGAAGATAGATTTACCTCTATAATTTGAATGGTAGAATTGGATTAATATACGTAGAAATTAGTCTTCAACCTTCTATTCAGGTAGCACATATCTGCTTTTGATTGTAGCTGTTTCTTTTTCAGAATTTATTAGTATTCTTTCATCAAATATCATCTTGTTTGTGTATTCCCCAGGAGTAAACTGCGAGACAGTCCTAACATCCGCGAGCTGTCCCTCGCAGTGGGCCGTGTGCCGGAGTGGGTCGCAGTGCGTGTCGGTGCGGGAGGGGGGGTTCGTGTGCCAGGGATGTGCCATCGACGCCGACCACACCACTCCGCTCTGTGAACTCAGGGCCAGGAGCTTCCCTGCATCGTCATTCTTGACCTTTCCAGGGTTGAAACGGAGAAATAGACTTAATTTGAAGTTGAAGTAAGTGGTTTGTGTTGTAATGTAGGTTACACAACACTTATGTCGAAATACTCAATTTTAAGAATAGATCAGTCACAGTTTTTTTTTTGTAATTTAACAGAAGGTATTATATTTAAGTACACATTAAAATTGACTTTCAGTAACCAGGCGTTAGAATACTTGGTTATTTATCAAAGTATTAGTTTTCCTTTAGTTTTATATGTTCAATTCATGGAGATGATTATAGAATTTGTACTAGTTAGTATAGTTGATTACACAACATAGACTCATGGTAAAAGATCATAGAATGTATCAATGTCATTGTAATAAAAATAATTAAAAGAATAACGATGGAGTTTCTTGCGGATTCTTCTATATTCGAAACTACTCTTTGGAACTAGCGCCTAGCTTCACTGACAGACAGACGGACGAAGAATTCAATTTTTGAAGTTTCAAAAGTGCCTAATTAAGGATTAATTTAATTAAATGCTTTAACTTTGTCTGTATAAAACATGATTGTTTCTGAAGTGGGTATTTATTTATTTTGTCAATTTCTTATAACATGTATTTAATCTTTCTGTACCCAGGTTCGCAACCCAATCTCCAAACGGTCTCCTCCTCTATAACGGGCGATACAACGAGCGTCACGACTTCCTCGCGCTAGAGACCATTAGCACCGGCGCCGGCGCAGGGGGCGGGGCCGGGCTACGGTTCACGTTCGGGCTCGGAGGGGGGAAGGTTGACGTCACCGTCGCTGGCAACGTGGCTGACGGCAACTGGCATACTGTGGAGATTGATTATTATAATAGAGTCAGTATTATCGATTATTATTAAAATATAATTTTACTGCCTACTCATGTAACTGTTTGACGAGACAGCTCGATTAGTTTAAAGCCACGCCACTAATAGTCTCATAGCTTATCACGGATTGCAGTTTATTATAAGCCCCAGCATGGCTCGAAATCAGTCCAGTTACCTCGACAAATAGTTTCGTCTGAGTGTGATGAGTATGTGAATTTAAATGTTTGTAAACACAACTACAAAACAAGAGAAAACTGCGTTTAATAAATATGATTAAATAAATCATTTATTATTTATAGACTGCCACTCTAATTCTGGATGACTGCGACAAAGCTCTCTCATTGGCCGGGGCAGCTGACTTTGGCATCAAGTACGCATGCGCCAACTTCACCAGAAAGGTTTTACCGCCACGATGTGAAATACCTACGGAGACTTGTCACAGGTAAATAATATAAGAGTCTACCTGTATGCATTCAAGGTTACAGTAGTGTGAAAGTCAGTTGATTTATTAGGTACGCTTTTTTATGGGATAAGCTGGTGATGAACGAGCAGATGAATCACCTGATGGTAAGCAATCGGCATCGCCCATGGACGCCCAGAACAACAGAAGTGTTACAATTGCGTTACCAGCCTTTTAGGGATTAGGAATTTGAGGATTGTTGGGGAATCAGGGATGGATTGAGGAGATCGACGACGAAACACAACGCCGTTTCACGTCGGTTTCTGTGAGGCCGTTGTATCACTCCAGTCGAGTCGGCCTATTCGTGCTAAAACATGGCTCTCTCACGTTTTTTGCTTAAACTACCATTGAAGTCTGAACCCTCTATATGATAAGTAATGGGAGGGAAAATGAAAAATAAAGGAAGACGGAAGGAGAACAGATATTGGGGAGTGTGAAGTGATTCACTGAATGTTTATTGATAAGAACCATCCACCATCAGGTGATTTATACATAACATTACGCCTTTTATCCCCGAAGGGGTAGGCAGAGGTGCACATTATGCCACTGTACAATGTAACACCCACTTTTCACTATTTATGTTATGAGTCCCATGTAATAGGGGGTGATTTTTGTATTCCCATAAAAACCCTTGGATAAACGCAAACGTTGTCATGAGGAACAACCCCTCTGTGGTTCGAAACTTGTTGAGCTTTTCTCAGTATATTCACGTGAGTAACCCGCGATTTAGTAAATGTTATTGTACCAAATTATCTAATCAAATCACAATCATTTCTTTTTAGATTCCTAGACCTAACAGGCCCTCTCCAGCTCGGTGGTCTTCCAAACATCCCCAGCAGCTTCCAGGTCAAAAATAAGGACTTTCAAGGCTGCATATCGGATCTATACATCGACCATAAGTTCATAGACTTGAATAGTTTCGTAGCTGACAATGGAACACTGGCTGGCTGTCCGGAAAAGAGGTCGCAATGTAGCTCCGCTCCGTGCTATAATGGCGCCGAATGTAAAGACCTTTGGGATACCTACCTTTGTGAATGCACTGAAGGGTATACCGGGAAGGACTGTGCTGACTGTAAGTATTTTTTATGTATTTCGTAAATGACCTTGGCTTTGAGATAATTCCAACTTTATTTCTAAAGGAATAAGATTGAGACAGTTTTGGAGTAGCTTGACATGCTAGTGCTGTAACAATACCTATCCTGATAAAGATATTACTGTTAATTAAAAATGAATTGCTTTGTTTAAATGGTTATTGGTCACATTTTCATCATCTGCTCAGCCTGTTTCTATAACAAAACCAAGAACTTTTTATCACTAACTTTTTATTCTACTCCTTAGCAACTCTCCCACCATGGCGGTTCAGTGGAGACGGTATGTTATCATTCAACCCACTCCTGCGGCCGATACAGCTCCCCTGGCTCAACGCGCTGTCTCTCCGTACTAGGCAACAGGACGCGTTCCTCATGTCCATACAGGTTGGACAGAACAGCACTATACTGATTACTGTGAGTATTATCCCAGCTTTATAAGTAATAAGTGTACTGTTTGACGCTAACAAAACGTGACGTCACAATACACTTTTTTTTTCTTTGGCAACCGAGTCTCCAAAACTAAGTTGTCGACTATACTGCCAGTGTCGAGTGGTGACGACGTCAAAATAAACAATCTCGTACAAAATTCATAGAAAACTGTCGTTTTTGACAGTTCGAAAAAAGTATTGAATTTGACTAGTTGGCTAATTGTAATTAAATTGGTCATAAAATCAATTAATAGAAGTGTGATTATTTTAAAATACTTTATTATATTGAACAGTCCAAATAAATTATTTTTGATTAAGGAACGTATCTAATTAATGAAAATTGCATTATCAGTATTAATAAAATTATTCTGGAATAAACTTACTCATCTTCTCATCTCATCCACAGCTAAAATCCGGCCACCTCCATTACTCCTACAACGGCGAATCAATGTTCCTTCCAACCACTATTCTATCGGACGGCGCCTGGCATCGCATCGACATCAAATGGCTCGGTACCGATATCTCAGTCACCGTCGACTATGGACTCAGAACTGTACTCCTGCCAATGCTAGCCAATAAGATTCAAGGACAGTATATTGGGAAGATCCTGATTGGTGGACCGGATAGCACGGCGGGGTTACTAGCGTCTGAGGTTGGGTACTTTGAAGGATGTATTCAGGTTTGTATTTTGTTCTAAATGTATTTTTCTTATTAAAATAGATTGAAAAGTCATTTGTAGCAACTTTTAGTTCCAAATTATCATTGCAATAAGAAGCAAAAATAAATGCGATTTTGAACCTTCCCTTTTGTCATTCATAGCTTCAAAATTTTAAGTTCATTAAAAATCAAGATTTTAATTCCAATAGAATTTTTAAAACTTTAACCTACTTTTATAGGATGTAAGAGTGGGAACAGCGCAGTCTCTTCTCAATCGACCAACAGTGAGAGAAAACGTAAGGGACGGGTGTCAATCACGAGCTGACTGTATGCTGTCCATCTGTCCACCCTATGTAAGTTATTCTACCACACAGATAATTTTAAGGGGTTCTCGAATGGAGACCACGTAACTATTGAACTTGTATGTTTGTAAACGCACCCACGACACAGGAGAAAAAACCCAAAGTTTTTATAAAAAAAAATGGCACATGGATCACCTGATGGTAAGCAATCGGCGTCGCCCATGGACACCCAGAATACCGGAGGCGTTACAAGAGCGTTATCGACCTTTTGGAGATTAGGAATTTGAGTATTGTTGGGGATTCAGAGATTGGGGAAATTGGGGAGGAGGGGGCGGTAATTGGGACTTCGGTAACCTCACTCACACGACGAAACACAACGCAAGCGATGTTTCACGTCGATTTTCTGTGAGGCCGTGGTATCACTCCGGTCGAGTCGGCCCATTCGGATGGAAGCATGGCGAGAACCATGTGGGAGTCCACACTTCATTATTACCAAGGACGTTGAAAAAAAGTATCTTTACGTTCCCCAGAGTACGTGCGTGTCGTCGTGGGACAGTACGGAGTGCGCGTGCGCCGCGGGCCGCGTGGGCGCGCACTGCGTGCCGGCCTGCGACCTGCGCCCGTGCGGCCCGCGCGCCCACTGTCGCCCGGACGACTCCGACCGGGGGTACTCCTGTACCTGCGAGGACGGGTATATGATGACTTGTGAGTATTATGAGTTTATAACTATTAAATTTTCTTATCCCTGCTTATTTTATTCCACTTCGATCATATAGGTTACTTAATCACCTGCTACTTTCATCTCTGGGGAGACAATGCCCAAGGCATTAAGTCCACCTGTACACACTTGTTGTATTAAGTTGAATTAAATTAAATTAAATCATATTATCATTGAATATTAGTCATTTTCATGACTAATTAGTTGTGAGAAAAATGCAGCCACAATACCTACTTATCATATTGATGAAAACGATTAAGTTTTGTTACAATTTGTCCTGTACTTTTCTTTGCCGTTCTGTATATTTCTTTAATTCGGGCACTGATCTCATCGAGTTGGTTTGTTCCAGCGTCTGGCTGCGTGGCGGCGGGCGGCGGGCAGTGCCCGGGCGGGTGGTGGGGGGCGCGCGCGTGCGGGCCGTGCGCCTGCGCCGGCCGCGGGTACCATCCGCACTGCCACGCCACCACCGGGGAGTGTCGCTGCAAGGTCAGAGTTATATCTACGTTCTAACTCTTTCTTTATGATAGATAGGCTTTCTCTCAATTTGAAGAATTATTTTTAATCGTTAAAGCTCCACAATTGGGCCTTTCTCATACAATTTCCACATATTTTTTGTGGTTCTGTGTTATCCCCATAATACTTATCCATCTTCTCTCACTTATCAGGAGAACCACTACAAGCCAGAAGGTTCCGAAGATTGTCTACCCTGTCAGTGCTACGCGGCGGGGTCAGTGAACTCTTCATGTGAAGTACTAACTGGACAGTGTTACTGCCGCGCCGGGGTCATTGGCCGCGCCTGCGACTCCTGCGCTAATCTATACGCTGAGGTTGCGCCTAATACTGGCTGTGAAGGTAATTACAGAAGTGATTTTAGATGAAGGATTTGAAGGAACCACTTTAAAAAAATAATTTATTATGTTATACATACTTACTTAAATGTACTCACGATCTGTTTGACAAGGTACAAAGTAAACATACAGTAGGTGAAACATCTTCATACAAACTTGCCGCCACAGCAAGGTAACTGGACTAATTTCACGCCTCGCCAAGTTCTCATAGTCAATTAATTTAAAAAGAACTTTAATAACTATTAAATACAGTCTGCCTTTTATCGCTACGCCTAATAAAACTTTACTTAAGTACCTTAAGTTATTATAATATAAATTTTCAGAAGTAATTGTATGATTTTACTTAATTAACTCTTTGAGTGCCGACATTACAGACACAATTAAAGAACAGTAGGTTGCGGTCACCGGTGTCCTCGCGGTGTTTGACAGTTTAAGTTATTCTAATCAATTGTAACGGTTATAACAGAAACGTCAGAGTTAAATGTTTGATACATTCTCTACATTTAATTTGTTCTCTACAGTGGTGTACGATGGATGTCCTCGCTCCTTCTCGCACGGCGTGTGGTGGCCGCGAACCAAATTCGGAATCGAAGCCGTCACTGACTGTCCAACTGGTAAGTGACTTACTTGACTTATAGTCCTATGTCCCCTAGATGGGGCAGAGGGCGTCCACAGAGGTTCTCCATTTCGATCGATCTTGAGCTTCTCGCTTCACCTCGCTCCACGTCATTCCGATGCTCGCCGCCTCTGCTATCACAGTACGACGCCAGGTTTGCCGAGGTCGGCCACGCTTCCTTTTTCCCTGGGGATTCCAATCCAGCGCTTGCTTGGAAATATGGTCGGGACCCCTTCGGAGCGTATGGCCTATCCATCCCCATTTGCGACGTTTGATCTGATGGTCGATCGGAGTTTCGCGGCATCTCTCCAATAGGTCTACATTGGAGATGGTCTCGGGCCAGAAAATACCGAGAATGCGACGTAAGCATCGGTTGACGAAAACTTGGATTTGGCGGGAGATGTCTTTCGTGACCTTCCACGTCTCGCACCCGTAGAGCAGTACGGATTTGACATTGGACCCGAAGATTCTGAGCTTAATTCTTCGGGTCAGTTTCCGTGACTGCCACACAGGTCTCAGCTGCGCGTAAGTAGCTCGGGCTTTGGCAATCCGTGAGGCGATGTCCTCCTCACTCCCTCCAGTTTCTGACACGACGCTCCCGAGGTAAGTAAACTTGTGGACGCGTTCCACTGCCTCAGTGCCAATCAGCAACGGTGAATTATTCTTCACGCCCGATCTCATATCTTTGGTCTTCCGTGTGTTGATCTTGAGGCCTGTTTTTGCCGCTTCCTGACGCAGATCGTCTAGCTTTGCTTGCATGTCGGCGTGGGTATGACTAAGCAGGCAAAGATCGTCGGCATAGTCCAAGTCTTCTAGGACGTTGGATAATCCCCATTCTATCCCGCGGCGCCGATCTTCTGAAATGCGAAGCATAATTCCGTCAAGTACGACCAGGAATAGAAGCGGCGACAGGAGGCAGCCTTGACGTACACCCGCATGCACTGTTATGTCATCCGATATCAGCCCGTCATGGGTTACCCTACAGGAATATTTCCTATAAATGCTCTCCAATAAACGGACAATCTTCGGCGGCACTCCGATGTCCAGTAGACGAGACCAGATGCTAGACCACTTCAACGTATCAAAAGCTTTTTCGAAGTCAACAAATGTGAGATAAATCTCACGTTGCCATTCTGATGCCTGTTCTAATATGATACGAAGAGTGTTGATCTGGTCCGTACATGAGCGGTTCGTGCGGAAACCAGCCTGTTCCCTGCGGAGCAGTGGATCTATGGCCTTCGTCAGCCTATCCAGAATGATTTTGCAAAAGACCTTAGCAGGTATCGAGAGCAATGTGATACCTCTCCAGCTGGTAAGTAACAAGACGAATAATATTTTGTATGTAAATCTTTTGTAATGCCTAAAGACAAATACCTTCAAACCTTCTAGAAAAGAGCGTATACCTTTTATTATGGAATATGGATCAGCGCCGCCCATGGACACCCGCAACACCAGAGGAGTCACAGGTGCGTTGCCGGCCTTTTAAAAAGGACAAAATGGCAATGTGGTAACGGCAACGCACCTGTGCTTCCTCTGATGTTGCGGGTGTCCGAAGAAATAAAAATTACAAAGTAATAAAAATGACACAAATTATGGTTATAACTGAATTATTATCTTCATAATGTTAAGAAACATTAAATTGTTGTCATTTAGGTACAAGTGGTAAAGCGACGCGAATGTGCGATGAAACACAAGTGGTGCCCTGGCAGGAACCTGACATGTTCAACTGTACTACATCCACCTTCTACCAGTTGAGGAAACAGGTATGCTTTAGTCGTTAGATAAATCTGTTTTAACTGCCTAAGCCTAATCGATGTGTCAAAAGAATCGACCAACTTAGAGGTATAATCGATCCTTACCGTTCACTAGCGCCAGCTTTTTTTGCAGCCATGATTCATCCGAGATGATAAAATGTCATAGAAAATAATTTTATATGTTTTTGTAAAATGAATTGTATTTCAGCACATCCTACCTCACCTTGGACTCCCCGAACTTTGACAGACACTATCAAACCCTTGAAATACTACTTTGTACTAAACCTATACCTACTATAACTACAATGACTGCCTCATTGGCCGAGTGGTCGCAAGTGCGACTGCCGGGCAAGGGGTTTCGGGTTCGATTTCCGGGTCGGGCAAAGTATTAATGGGTTTTTAAAAATATTCAGTAGTAGCACGGAGTCTGGAACTGTGCCCGGTATATGGCAATAGGCTCACCCTCTATTACATAGGACTCATAACATAAATAGTGGAAAGTGGGTGATAAATTTAACAGTGGCATAAAGTGCCGTATTGTGCACCTTTGCCTACCCCTTCGAGGATAAAAGGCGAGATGTTATGTTATATTATACTAAAGCTTACACGTTCTTGAAGTTAGCATTTTTTCATAAAAAATTCACCATTCTACAACCGCCTTCATCCCTACAGTTAAGCAAGATCGAAACTGGTGAGTTATCAGTGAACACGTTCGTCGGCGTCCGACTGGCCGCCGACTTGACCTCTGCCTGCGAACAAACTCCTCAGTTATACGGGGCTGATGTACTGGTCGCTGAGGGAATACTCCTTGAATTACTGCAGTATGAGATGAAGCAAGCTGGATTGAACCTTACGCATAGTCAGGATAAGGATTATGTTAGGGTAAGTGTGTAAAGTAGCTTTCATTATTTTGTTACCTCATTGTCTGTATTTTTTACATGTATATGTACTGGCTACTGAATAAGGCGGTCTCGTCCAGTTCAATTCTCCGGTTGAGTAATGTATTTAAAATGAAATTTTTGCGTCGTTGGCCGATG